CTGCAGGGGCTGCTCGCCGAAGGCCTCCTTGGACGGGGACAGCTTGCGGGAGCCGGCGTCCTGGGGCTGCGGGTCGCCGGAGCCCTGCGCCTCCTCCTCCCTCCTCTTGGACGGAGCCTCCGCCTTCTTCTCCTCAGCCCCCGCGGCCTTTTTGAAAGTCCTGTCGGCCGGGGCGTGGCGCTCCTCCGCGGCGCGCTTCTTGTGGCCGGGGGAGCGCGCCTCGCCCTCGGCCGCCTCGCCGGACTTGATCTTCACCGCCTGCATGCCGTTCTCCATGTACTTGCTCATGACGATCACGATGCGCCCGTTCTTGTTCTTGTTCTTGACGATCTTCATCTTGCCCCCGATCCCGTTGCCCGTCACCGCCTCCTTGGGAGCCGGCGTCATCCCGTTGGGAGGGCCCTTCTCCGAGCCCTTGCCCGGAGCCCCGGCCGCACCGGCCAGGGGCTTCACAGCCCCCAGGTAGCCCTTGGCCCCCGCGCCGTGCGCCCACTTGTCGGGGGGGTGGCTCTTGGCGCCCAGGTCCGGGCAAGTGGGGCTGGGCGCCTCCTTGTGGCCGCCCTGGTACTGCAGGTCGTACATCTTGGGGTCCGGCTGGTAGGGGTGGTGCTTCTTGCTGTTGAGCTGGTAGTAGTACTTGCCGCTCTTGCCCGGAGGTGGGGGCTTGCCGGCCCGCTCCTTGCTGTGCGGCTGGTACTGGTGGTGCTTCTTGCTGTTGAGCTCATACTGGTGGCCCTGGCCCTTGCCCTGAGCGCCCAGCTCCAGCTTCGCGCGGTTGTCTGTGGAGGAGTCCTGAAGTCCAGTCAGCACGTTGGAGCGGCGGGCAAACGTAGGGACCTGGGGGAAGGAGGCAGGGATGCGAGCGGGAGGTGAGAAGAGGGAAAGGCCAGCCCCAGGGCAAGCCTCCAGCATCAGGAGCGTCCCAGCCCCAGCTGGGTCAGCAGCTGCTTTAGAGGCCCGAGCTGGAGGTCAAGAGGAAAGGAAGTGGAACTGGGTGCTCTGGAGAAACTCTCCCTGCCCTCTGGGCCTGGAGGCAGATCAGGTGGCAATGGCAAGGGGAAGACGAGTGGACAGGCCCGCGCCCAGCGACCATATTCACCTGCACCACCAGCGGTTTGGGCTTCGGCCCTCTCTTCCGGTATCCCATCAGCTGCTCCTGCCGCTCCCTGGGGGGAGGGAATAGAGGGCAGCGCGGTTAGCCTCCGGGTGGCCTCCCCTCCTGCCAAGATCCAACCTGCGGTGATGCCTGTCCCCCACCCCCTCCCGCGAGCAGCCAGGCCAGCATGACCCAGAGGGATCAGGAGCTCAGGGCAGAAGGTCTCCTGTGCCACCAGCTGGGCGCCTCCAGCCGGTCCCAGAGCCCCGCTCTGTGTTCGTCCGGACCCTTCTCTGCCCAAGGGGTGCTCCGCCAAGGGCTCCCCCATCTCTGGTATCCGCACCTGCACTGGCGCCCCCCGCAGCTCTGCCTCGAGGAGGGGGAGAGGGCAGCCAGGTGCTAGGGTGGGTGATGCACTGGCGCCCCCAGCCTTGGGCCTGCGGCCCCGCGCAAAGTGAGGTGGGCGCGGGGGTCCAGGGGATGCAAACAGGACCAAAAGAGGTGTGCGGAACACGTCCCCTCCCCGTCAGAGGCTCGGGATGCTAATGACCTCATTAAGATTCAGATAACGAGTGCCGCCGGCAGAAGGGAGGACTCATTTTCCTCCGGCCGGGCACTAAACAGGGGGAGGGGCTGCGCCCTTGTTTACACGGCGGCAAATGAGCCAATTAGGGGCTGGGGGCGGGGGCCGGCCGCTGAGGCCACGGCCTGGCCAGGTTCGCAACCACCTGGTGAACAGGCTCCGGGTCGGCCTGGGCGTAGCGGCTGGGTGGAGCGAGGCCGGGAGGTGCGCAGAAGCACCGCCCCCTCGCCGAGCTGGGCTCCCGGCCGCCTCGATTTCCCAATTGTTAATGAACGCCACCAGAGGTGGCCCCGGCCACCACCACCGCCAGGCTCCCGCCGGCGGCCTGGCGGAGGGTGACCCGAGGCTGGAGTTCAGATCGTCCCGGCACTGCCCAGCCTTCCCTGGGAGAAGAACGGGGTGCCCCTCCAGCGCCTGCCAAAGTTGCAACCCGCTCCCGGGCCGGGCCGGCGCTCTCCAGCGACCCCAGGCACCCCCCTGCCCGGGGGCTAACCCAGGGGAGTTCGGCCACGCCCGGGGGCCCAGGCCGGGGCCTGACTCCGAAGTTGCGTGGCATTGCACCAGCCTGCGCTCTAATTCTTCGGGGACCCATTATGCAACATGGCATCAGCCGGTGACATGGTTACAGGGTGATGAACTCCCAGGTGGAACTGGGGCAGGATCCCTTCTCGGCGCCCCCCTGCGTCGCGGGAGAGCAACTTCCCCGCCAGTCACTCGCTCCGAGGGTCTAGAGTTCAGTTTTAGCGCCAAATGCGACACAGGAAATAATGCAAAATAAAAGGGGGAGGAGGAATGGAAGGCAGCGGGGTGGCGGAGCTCCTCGGACTCGGGCCGCGCCTCCCCTCCGCGCCCGCCCTCCCCCCCTCCGGTCCTCCCCGAAAAAGAGAACCGCAGCCACGGGCGCTGGATCCAGCTGCCGCAGCTGCAGCACGACAAGCATCTGTGCGCGCAAGGATAAGCCCCGCGTCAGAAGCCACCCCTCCACCACCCGGCAGCTCCCAACCCACGCCCTTTGGGCCAAGCTCCCCCTGCCCCAGGATGCCGGCCGACACCCACAGACTAGCCCAGTGGGGGGTGCAAAGGGCACCCAGTACCAGACAGGCTCTACCCCCTGCGGAGCCCAAGCTCCCTGGGTGGGGGTGGGTCGAAGTTTGGGAGAGTGGTTAGGGCCTTGCCAAGTCAACTTTTCTCCAGCCCCCAACAGGTTAAGTTCAGTTCCGTGACGTCCGGCGGTTTCACAACGCCAGCTCCCTCGGAGCTGCCCCGAGAGGTGCTGGTGCCAAGCGGCCAGTGGCCACAGGAAAGCAACACCTAGGCTCCGGGGGTGGGGCTCCAAGGCTGCGCAGAGAGGGGGGCCCGCGGGGGGGGGGGGGGGGGGGGGGCCGGGGGGGGGGGGGGGGAGAAGCCGCCTCAAGGTCTCCCGGCAGCGGCAGGGCCACCCTCACGCACCCTCCTCGCAGTTCCCCCCAAAACACCGGCCTCGCCTTCTCCGGCCCCGCCCCGCCCCCACCCCCAGGCTGCTGCAACCGCCAAGGACGTTGGTGAAGAGAAGCCGAGGCCGCAGCCGTGCGGGTGCAGGCCCGTCGGGGGAGGGGGCTCCCGCCGGCCCCCTCCAGGCCCTTCCCCTCTTTCCCACTGCAGCGTGGCCCCCTCTCCCATTCCCATATACGGTCACGGCTGCAGGCGGTGGCTGCTGGGGGACGCTCACCTGTTCTGGAAGGCGATCAGCAGCCGGGGATCCAGGATGTTCTCCTCGGGTTCCCACGTGTTATATCTTGCAAGGGAAAAGGGAGGGGACATGGCGTAAAAAAAACCGAGCCAGCTTTGCGGCCTCCAGGTGGGGAATGACATAAGGCCCTACTCTGTCTCCATGAACCGAGAGCTGTGGATGTGGGGGGTGGAGGGGAGATTTCTGCAGGCCTGACACGGTCCCGACAACCCCCCCCAAGTCAAAATAAACACACAAGGGCAGGAGGAAAGGGGAGGGGTAAGGAAAACGAAACTAGCAGTTTATTTTGCAGTTGTCAAGAATTTTAAGCATGTTACTGCGACATGTTCCAAAGCCACTTTGCTCACCAGGAACCCTGCGTGCAAAGCAGCCGAAAGGCAAAGTCGCAGTCCCCCTCCTCTCCCCAACCCCGAGTCTCCGCGAGGGCTTCAGCTGTTCTCCATTTGACCCCTAATCCGATCACCATCAGCCAGGCGCCCCCCCCCACCGCACACCCCCTCGCAGCCCTGGAGCCCGGTGTCACGGGCAAGCACCCCCAAATACTCAGCAATATAAAAATATGCCTCTGTGTGTGTGTACGTGTGTGTGTGTGTGCGTGCGCGTCTGTCTCCATCCGGTGCCTTCGCATTTCAAATTAAAAAAAAAAAATTCCCCACCAAAAGCGCAGTGACAGTTCCCAACATTTTCTGCCTTTTTTCTTCCTCTCCCCGCACCACTAGGAGGGAAGAGGCACACAATTGCATTTTCGTCGCTTTTTAATTTTTTTTTTTTTTTTTTTTTGGTTTTGCAATATGGAGCCGTTCGGTGGAGGGAAAGGGGAAAGGAGCCATTTTCTGCTGCACATCAGTCAGTGCCTGCGCCCTCCCTCCCTCCGCCGGCCTCCCCGGCTCGGCCCCGCGTCTCTCCAGCTCCTCCGGCTCCTTTTAGTGCATAAATTAGTGATGGCATTTCCCGGAGAGCGGAGCACAACACAGGGCGCCGGGCTCGGGCTCGGCGGCTCGGCTTCCCCAGTGCCTGCCACCGACTTCCCCACCCCCTCCTCCCTCCACCCCACCTCCACCCCGCCTCCCGTCCGCTCCCCCCACCACCCCACCAGCTCCGCGGTCCGGAGCCCGGGAGCCCCGCGCCTCGGCACCCGGCGCCCCCGCCCCTCCGCCGCCACTTACTTGGGGGACCAGCCTCTCCATTTCACCAGATACTCCACTCTGCCCTGAGGGGGGAAGAGACAGCACTCCATCAGCTTCCGCGGGATCCCCGGCTCCGGCCCGCAGCCTCCCCACCCCCTCCCCGCCTCCTCGCGGGCTGCTCCGGCCGCCGCTCCCTCGCCGCCTCGCCGCCGCCCCCGCGCCGCCCTACCTTGCGGATCCGCTTCTTCTCGATGCTCTCCACCGCGAAGACGTGCTCGCCAACAGCTGGCAGCTCCATGGCCGAGCCGGAGCGCGCCGGGGCGCGGGCTGCCGGCGCGGCTGCAGACGCTGCTGGCTCCCGCCGGCGCCCCGCTGCCTCCCCGGCCGAGGCGCCCCTGTCGCCCGCGCCGCCCGCGCCGCCGCCGCCGCCGCCGCCGCCGCTCCCTGCACAGCCCGGCCGCCCGCCCGCCCGCCGCTGCCCGCGCCCGCCCCGCGTCCCGGCTCGCGATCGCTCAGACAACTGAGCCCGGGCCGCGGCTGCACAAGAACTCATGCAAATCCGGACGTCAGCGGGCGGGGCCTCGCCGGGCCCAGCTCGGCGTCAGGGGGCGGGCCGCGGCCAGGATTGGCGCAGCCGGGCCTACCGGAGGCCCCGGGCCTGGGCGGCGCGGGGGAGAAGGAAGGACGCGGGAGGGGGGCCGGAGGAGGAGGGCGCCGGGGAGGTGCAGGGGGAGGGATCCGCGGGCCCGGGAGAGGGAGGGAGCGGGACCCGGCGGGAGAGGTGTGTCGGCCGCGGGGCGCAGGGCGGGTGGGGAGCTTGACACGGCCGGAAGGGTCTCGGCGGCGACCCCTCGCCTGCAGCGCGGCGCCTGGGCCTGCCCCTGTGCCTCTCCTTCTCGGTGTGCGCCGCCCGGGGACCCCTGCTGGGGGCCACGGAAGCATCCACTGCAGTTTCCAGTTGCACAGAATTGCGTCATGTGCACACGCGCGCGCGCGCACACACACACACACACACACACACACGGGGAGCCGCCGGCAGGGGGCAGAATCGGGGCCGGGGCAGCTCGCGCCCCCCACCCTGCGGGCCCCGCCCCGCCCCGCCCGGCTCTGGGCATTTAGGACGACGAGGCGAGGGAGGGAAAGGGCAGGGAGAGGGAGACAGCGGGGTTCACAGGATCGCCAGGGAGAGCGGGAAGGAGAGGCGAGGAGGAGGACGGAGGAGCAGCCAGGCTGGGGCCCTAGCGCTCCGGAGCCTTACCGGAAGGGGGCTCCGAGGCCGAGCCCACCCCAGGTCCCGGCCGGCTCCCAGTTTGCCCCCCCGGCACTCTCCTTGGTGGGGCAGGGCCGGGCTGCCTCGTTTCCAGCATCAACCACGCTAGCCCCAGCCCCGCGGCCAAGCTGGACGAGAGAGAGCGACTGCAGAGGGGGCGCGGGGCATGTCCGGATCTGCCTGGGGGACCGAGGGGACTCGGTGGGGTCCCGGCATCGAAGGCGGGAGTGGGGAGGGCGAGACGTTCAGGCAGAGCAGGGGCACATCGAGGCTGTGCAGGGAGACGGAGAACGCAGTGGCTGAGGAGCCAAGCGGCCGTCAGGACTGCGTGTCCCCGGTCCCCGACAGCCAGCCGAGCCGAGGCCCTCCCGAGAAGCCGCCGAGTGTGAAGTTTAGCACCTCCGGCGGCGAGACGGCGCGTTCGGCGTGCGGCTCCGGCGTCCGGCTGGGGGAGCTGCTGCGCTCCACGCCGCCTCCCGAGGGCGCCGCCCGCGGGGCCGCGAGCTCGCTGGGGTCGCGGCGAGGGCGGAGGGGACCCGGAGAGGGTGCAGGAGGGGCAGGGCGCGCTCGCCCTGGGGCGTGTCTGGGCCCCCCGCTCCTGGCCCCTGACGGACCGGGAGCAGGAAGCTTGCGCAATCCCTTGGCTGAGTGTCCAAGGAGAAAGAAAAAGAGCAAACGCCGAGCGAGAGTGGAACGCGCGAGGGGGGCGGGCAAAGAGCCATCCGGGTCTCGGCTCCCGCCCAGACACACGTCCCAGAATGCTGGGTGGGGACTGCGCGGGGCCTCGAGAGACCCAGGGAGGGCCGAGGGACCGAAGCGAACCCCCAAAACATGCTCGGGGCTCGCGTTCTCCCGGGAATCCAGGAGAAGCCTGGAGACAGTCTGGTGTTTAAGGACGCACGCGTTGACTCCACCGTTCCACCGCCACCTCGCAGCTCCCGCGGCGGTGGCCGTTTCTGTTTCGGCGTTGGCCGCTGGCTCCTCCCTTCGAGTGGTTCTGGGAGTGGGGGGTCGCCTCGGGCGGCACGAGAGAGGGGCTCGGTCTGCAGTGACTGCTCTCCGACAGGATCGAGGCACAGACCCAAGATTCCTGAAGAAGTCGGGGTGGGGTGGGGGGACGGCTGAGGCTAAATGGGGCCGACGACTGCCTGTAGTCCTCGGGTCGGAGGGGGGCTCTCGGGGTTTATTGAAGCTGGGCTAGGTGGAGTTTTGGGGAGGGGAGACACGGGGAGAACGTCTTTCTCCTGTGTTTTGGGCTTTTATCCTGACACTCTTGGCCAGGGCGAGGAGATCTCGGGTGGGACAACTTAACTGCAGAGGGGGCAGGGACCCCGAGCCTGGCGCGGGAAACGCTGTCAGCACGACAGTCACCCTTACACGTAGAGCCAGCCGCCAGGCCATAGGCGCTTTCAGTCTGTGCGGAGGTCTACAGCGACCTTGTCCCGGACAGCCCCATCGTCCCGGGAGGGGCTGCGCTTCCCGACACTTCGCCGGCCCCCTCACTAGAAAATCCCCTGCAAAATCTGTCTCTAGTGGGTGTTTCCGCGCCGTCCTGGTCGGGCTGCTGCAGCCTCTGCGCCGCCAGGGGCGTTGGACTCCGCCCTGTGCGGCCGGTTCTCTCTGCCCCCGCACCTCCCCCGCCCGCGCTCCGGACCTCGGGGGCCACGCGGCGGCACCCGGTGCCCCTTCGGCGACTTTGCGCAGGAGCCGGGCTGGGCATGTGGCCGAGCTGGGGAGGAGGGTGGCTCTCGCCGGCCAGTACAGCGGATCTTTTCTGTAGTTGCCCGTGTGATAGTGTGAGCGGCCACCAAGTGCCCCCGACGGCGGGAGGGGACTCCCCCAAGGTCCTCAGAACTCCCGGGAGCCCGCAGCCACCCTCACTCCAGGCCTCTCTGGCCAAGTGACTGAAATACACAGGCACCGGCAGAATGCGGTGACTCGCCCTTCCTGCGGTTACTAACTTTGTCCTCGTGGAGGGTGGGTGGATATGGAGAGAGGCCGAGTCCTAGAGCCCCAGCCTCACCTTGGCCTGGCCCTAGACCACCCCTCACCTGCCAGCGGGTGTGGGGAGGAGCTCAGGTCCGGGGAAGCACCAATGGGCTGCGTGGAGGAGTCAAAGACAGAATCTGGGGGTGCCCCACGGAGTGGGGAGTGCCCTGGAAGCCCCCACTGAGGCGTCCCCGCGAGCACCTCCTGGGAAGCCTCCCCCATGGCCTCCACTACCATTCCACCCCGTCCTGACCCCTCTGAGGGAACTGAAGGCGAGTGGAGCCTAAACTCGGGATTCCCAGAGCCTTCAGCTGGGGCCCCTGCCTCTGACCCGGGATATCCCGAGCCCCTCGGGGAACCCCGGAGAAAGGTCGCTGATCCATGCATTTGGCGCTGCCTCCTTCAGCCAGGACGGATTGCGCCCCTGGGTTCCGCTGAGGGGCAGAAGCCTTCTGGGTGCCCCCTCAAGCTGGGGCCCCCAGGGGCCCTCAGGGGCCCCAAGTGAGGAGCGATGCGTCTCCCCAAGCCGCAGCCTCCCTTGTGGAGGGGAGAGGGTCGAAAGAGTAGACCCCGGGAAGCCGGAGACTCTAATGGCCCTGGGCCAGAGGGTGATGCGATTCTGGGTTCCTGATGGGGCCTGAGCCACCCCAACCCAGGGAAATCAATGACTCTGTAAGTCTTCTCCGTGAATGGACTCCCTGCACGGAGTTACCAGCTCCCGCCCACGAGCCCCAGGTCTGATTTCTGCCCGGAAGGGACCGCCTGTGACTTCCCGGGCCAGTCCTAGACTAGCGAAGCTCTCAGCTGGTGTGGCTTTCTAGGTCCCCGGAGGTGGGTTTCCGACAGCCAAGGAGAATTTACTAGCATAACGACTGCAGAATCTACCCGGGCTTTAACAAGGGCTCATTTCTCTCCTCTGCTCTTAGTTGGGGAACTTGTCTCTGACGTCAGCACTGGCGTTTGTAATTTCGCATTTTTAGCGGTGGCTGACCTGGCAGGACTGTGCGTGGGGGGTAGGAGGAGAAGAGCCCGGAGGCGGCGTGGGAGCCCTGCACTCCGCCCCCCGCACCTTCTCGGAGGAACGGCTTTGTTCCTGAGGACGCCCCTCCGCCCTCTGTGTCCTCACCCCCATGTGTGCGCTCTTTGTGACACCTCCCGCGAAAGGTCGCCTTTCATTCGGGTGGCGAAACCCCTGACGCCCGGGCGTCCTTCTGCAGCGGGCTGCTCGGGGCTGAAGCTGGGGCGCCAGGTGGGAGGGCCGGGCAGGGCGCGCGGGCGGGGCAACGGGCTCGGCACGCCACCAGGTCGTGGCCCCCCGGCAGGTCCTGGGCATTCCCGGGGCCACTCTGGCGCCCGCGGGGCCTCGCCTCGCCGTGGCGGCCCGCGGGGGTCGCAGGCGCAGGAGCGCGACGGGCAGTGTTCTAAGAGGATCGCGGGCCCAACCCCTCCCCACGTCAGGGCAGCCCCCCCGTCCCCGCCAGCCTGGAGAAGCCCACGCGACCCCCCGCCACAGGCTGGGTCGCGGGGCTCCTGCCCGCCTGGCGATTTGCGCCCCCGGGATCCATATTTCAAACGTGGTCTTCGGAGCCGCTTCCAGCGCCCGCCGCCGCCGCCGCGCTCTCACAACGGCCTCTGCGCGCTGTGTTCTCATCTGGGGTTGGTTTGTCCAAGGTCTCCCCGCGGGCCTCCCCTGCCCGCGAGGTCGCCCCTCCACGTCCGCCCCCCGTGTTTTGCTCTCGGATGCCCCCGTCGCACCCCCGAACCCAGCGGGGCCCACACGCAGGGCGGATTTCTTTCTTTCCTTTTTCCAAACGAGAGCGGCTGCGGCAACGCCGGGAATGAGATTAAAATCGCCCGGCGGACCCCGAAGTGCTCGTCTGCCGCCGCTCAACCCCACCCCGCCCTCCCCCCAGCCCCCCGCACGCCCCCCGCCCGGCCTGGCGGCGCGCCGAGGGTGAAGCGCGCGCCCGCGAGGGCATTCGGCGCGGCGGGGAGGAGCGCGGGTGGGGTGGGGTGGGGTGGGGGGCCGGGCGCCGCGGGCCGGGGAGGCTGGGCTCGCGTTCGGTCCCCCTGCCGACCCCGGCGTGGCGGGGCGGGCGCGACCGGAAGGGCCCGGTGCGTTTTTGCCTCCCAGGCTGGCGGGAGCCGGGCCCGGCCGCAGCCCGAAACGGCGAGGACGCTGCTCGGAGGCCGCGTCCTGCGTAGCCCGAGCGGGGGAGGGGGCGCAGGCTCGGGAGCCGCGGCCGCGCGTCGCCAGCCGGCCGATCGATCCCCAGGGGCGGGAACGCGGCGAGCCCCCCCGGACCGGGGGCGGGGGGTGTCCCTGAAGGATCGAGGGTCGAACAGAGGGGGTGCTCGGGGATCCCGTGACCGTGGGATGGCGGCCGGGAGGGCCCAGCCGCAGCACAGCTCGGCCTGCCGTGCGGGGCCCGGGGCCGGGGGCGGGCGGTAACGCCTCAGGCACCCCAGAGTCCCATACATTCTCTCTCGGGCCCCCGGGTTGGCCACTTCCGGAGCGGAGTCTGTCTGCCGCGCAACTTCGTCCCTCCAGGTCCAGCCCCCACACCCCCGACCCGCCCCACCCCCACCCCGATGACGAGGTCGTCTGGCGCGATCACCCAGGCCTTCCTTACCCCTCACCCTTCCCTCTCGAATCCTGATCCAAGTGGGTGGGGGTCCCCTTCCTTAACACCACCACTGGAAGAATCCCCAGGTCTGCCCAAGAAGCCCCTTCCCCAACTTGTTCCCGAGGGCCGTTTCCTGGGACGGTCTCCGCGGACCCCCGAGGGATCCCCTTAGGCTCCCGGGGGGGCCCTGGCCGCCGCCTCACCTGCCGGGTCCGCGGCCCAGGCGGGGCCGGGGTAGGGGAGCCGAGGAGCCTGCACCCGCCGCGCCCTCCCCTAGGGGGCGGGCTCCCCTCGGGCTGGCGGGCGGCTGGGGCCTGGGCCAGGGCGGCCCTCCCAGCCTCTCTGGGAGTGGGAAGGAGAGGCTCAGGCAGGCGAGCAGGGGGGTCTCGCTGCAGAGCCCGCGCCCCCCTCCCTCGCGTTGGCAGCGACGCCGCTGCGTCTCCAGCCAAAAACAAGCGGACCCAGAGCGACTTGGAACCTTGGGAGCCCCTGCACACCTAGGGCCGCGCGCATCCTCGGTGGCCAGGGCCCTTGCTTCCCATGAGCGGCCCTTGCTTCCCATGAGCGGCCCTTGCTTCCCATGAGCGCCCCTTGCCCGAGGCCCTTCCCCTCCCACTGAGAAGTCGTCAGGAGGAGCGTCTGCGCATCTTTGGTTTGAGGTTTTTCAAGGAGGTCACAGGTCAAGAGCATCCCAAATTGCCTTGTTCTGCTGTCCAAGGGCCCATAAGAAGCAAACTGGTATGACAGCGCAGGTGTCCCCAACAGCCCAGCCAGCCTGACTTCACGTGGGGATGAGTGGGAAGGGGAGCCTGGAGCAGAAACCCCGCCAGGGACTCTCTTCTCCAAACTGAGGTTCCCGAAGGAAAAGTGGCTGTGCCTGACAAATGTCGCTTTTTTTTTTTTTTAAGATTTTATATATTTATTTGATAGAAGACACAGCAAGAGAGGGAACACAAGCAGGGAGAGTGGGAGAGGGAGAAGCAGGCCTCCCGCCGAGCAGGGAGCCCGATGTGGGGCTCGATGTGGGGCTCGATGCGGGGCTCCATCCCAGGACCTCGGGATCATGACCTGAGCCAAAGGCAGACACTTAACGACTGAGCCACCCAGAATTCCCCAAATGCCACTTCTTAAAAGTGCCCTGATACTTCCCTGTAAGGGATGCTTCCTGGGTTGCTGGCTGGGGGAGCGCTAATACCCCAAGAGATACCCCAAGTAGGGAAAAGGGACCCCAGTTCTTCCTCTGGTGGGGACAGTGGCCGTGAGAATGGCAGCAGCTAGGTTGGAATAGGTCTTGAGATTATTTATAGTCACTGAAGTTCCAGATAAAGTTCAGAATTTCTTTTTTTTTCTGGGCTAAGGTAGTCAGTGATGGAGGAGGGTAGGAGGCAAATGTAGCGATGTGCGCATGCGTGTGGGGCTGGTAAAGGGCGTAGGGAGGGAGTGCGCAAGCGCAGCCAGCCCGGAGCTTGGGGCAGGGCGGTTCCTCCATCAGGCTGGGCTGCAAGGGCCGGAAGTATTTTTAGGGATCCACAAAGTGGTCTAATTTCTTTTCTCCTTCTCCTCTTCCTACTCCGTGAAAGTCGTTTATTAAAAAAATTTAAAACACGTGTAATGTTGGGGCGCCTGGGTAGCTCAGTCCATTAAGTATCTGCCTTGAGCTCAGGTCATGATCTGGGGTCCTGGGATGGAGCCCCGCATCCAGCTCCGTGCTCGGCGGGAGGCCTGCTTCCCTCTCTCCCACTCCCTCTGCTGTGTTTTTTTCCTCTCTCTCTCTGTGTCAAATTTATAAAGAAAGTCTTTTTAAAAATACGTGTAATATAAAATTTACCATTTTAACCATTTTCAAGCGGCACTGGGCATGTTCACATTGTTGGGCAAGAATCACCCCCGTTCACCCGCGGAACTTCGGCATCACCCCAAACAGAAACCCTCAGCCCCTGGCACCCACCGTCCTACTTTCTGTCTCATGAATTTGACTACTCCGGTGTCTTATATAGTTGGAATCATACAGTGGTTGTCCTTTTCTGTCTGGCGTATTTTACTCAGCATCATGCCTTCAAGGGCCATCCGTATTGTAGCAGGTGTCAGAATGGTCTTCCTTTTTAAAGCTGAATAATATTACATTGTACGTCTAATTTCTTTTAAAATCAGAAGAAAAATCTTTAGGCCATGTCTTGGGGCGCCTGGGTGGCTCAGTGGGTTAAAGCCTCTGCCTTCCGCTGGGGTCATGATCTCAGGGTCCTGGGATTGAGCCCCGCATCCGGCTCTCTGCTCAGCAGGGAGTCTGCCCCCCCACCCTGCCCGCCTGCCTCTCTGCCTGCTTGTGATCTCTCTCTCTCTCTGTCAAATAAATAAATAAAATCTTTAAAAAAAAGACAATGTATTAACATATAATATTGATATGTTCACCTTTATACCAATGCAGTTATAAACTCATTTTTCATACATTTAAAAAATATTTTACTTATTTATTTGAGAGAGAGAGAGGAGAGAGAGATAGCATGAGAGAGCATCAGTGGTGGGAGGGGGTGGGGAGAGAGAGAAGCAAGCTCCCCATGGAGCAATGATCCCAATGCAAGACTCAATCCCAGGACCCTGGGACCACGGCCCAAGCTGAAGGCTAGACTCTCAACCGACGGAGCCACCCAGGCGCCCCAATTTTTAAAACTTTTTTAGGGACAAAGGATCCACCAAAAGAGCAGTGCCCAGGGCCCATGAAAGTTCTGGGAGAAGTTTCAAGAATGGCATGTCTGGGGGGACATGGTGAGTGGGGCCTACCAGCTCTCCCTGCGGGTGGGTGTAGGTAATCAGCCGTTGGCCTTGGACTGATGGTTCTGGGGGGGCCCAGAACTCTCACCTGCCTATGTACCCTGGTACCTGTAGGCATCCTGGGGATGACTTCTCCTCGGGTGGGAATGCCGGTTTCTGTCTGATGCCGTTAAAGTAAAAAGCATGTGAAAGTAATGGGAACACCAGACCTAGAAACACAAGGCCTGCCTGTCTCTCCTTTTATTTTGAGAGTCCCGGTCTGCAGGCTGAGGCCCGGCTCTGGCTCTACAGATTTCTCCCGATGTCTGTCTGGCCTGTGTCTGTGAGCTGATTGCCCGCAATTTGACAGTAATGATTATAATGGGGTGATTTTGTATTCTTTGACTCATTCAGATTGGAAGGTTCAGAAACGGACCCAGGCCTCCCCACCCCCATCCCCTTGCTTTTGAAGCTGGTAGTTCCTTCGTTCGTTTGTTTTTATTCCAAAGAAACGGCAGAATCTCATGGACACAGACCCATAGAGAGAAAACGTCTTTCCCTTTTTGAACCGACTGGTGATTACTGATTTCCTTTTTTGGCCCGGTGATGAAGAATGAGTCCCATACACGCCAAGAAATATTGCGCAGGACCAGGGGAATATCGCTACAGAAGTCTACGTGGGAGAGAAGCCTTTCTTGGAATTTTGAGAAGCACGGCTTTTCCCAGCTGCTATGTCCGCTGGGCTGTGCGGGGGTCGCTCACTCCCACACTCTGCTGAGGCGGCTCTTCCCTCCCCTTCTTGCTACCTCCCGGCGAAGACACACTCCTGTGTACACTAAGCCTTCTTTCTCCAAAGAGGCCCAGAAAGACAGACAGGTGGACTGCCATGGATACAATGCAGCAGGGTGTGAAAGCCACTGAACCGGGGTGACGTAGCCCCCCGATCACTTGCTGCTGGCATCTTAGCCTGACCTAGGGGGACCGCTCCTGGCCGCTGGGTTTCCCCCGTGGCAGGAATCACGAAGCAGCTCTATGCTCTGCGGTGGGACCTGTGCGTGCCCCGGGGGGCGTGTCCCAGCTCTGGGGCAACTCCAGGTTCCCACAGAAGCAAGGCTGGTTTTTGCACATAGACTGCAGACATGGGGCTCGCCGTTTCTGAGCAGCGTGGATGAGGCTGTTTGTACATCGCTCATCAGAAGCCTGGTTGTTTGCGATGCAGAGACCCTGCCCCCCGCCTGCCATGCCGAGACCCTTCAGCCCCCCAGAAGAGCGCCTCCGCACCTGCCACTTTGGGATTTCTATGTGCACCCCCTAGAGAGGGTGGTCCAACTCTGCCAAGTCCAGCTGCTGGTGGGCAAGGACTTTGTTGTGACATTTCTGAGACCAGGGCTGGGGGTCTGGGGGCTGGGGGTCATCAAAGAGGAGGTTCCCCCTGCAGAGTGGAAGGGCGGCTGCTCATTGAACGGGAAGAGTCCCCGTCCCCCCTGCCTCCATCTTCTGCAGGGTCCCAGCCAAAGCCCAGGGCCCTGCCCCTCCCTTGGGTCTAGCACCCCGGGCTGGGAGGGGAGGGAGGTGTGCCTTTAAGACCAGAGAGCCTGTGGGAGAGGTGCTTCTGGAGGAGCTGGGCTCCAGGTTGCCAAGGTGAATCTGTCAATAGAGTATTGAACAGGCCTGTCTGACTGGTTGTAATTGTGTTTCAAAACAGCCAGCTTCTGGCCCTCCTCACCCAGTCCCAGAGCACTGCAGACAGGAGCCTCGCTGGGCAGGAGTCCCCGGGGACAGGAGACCCCGCAGCACCCCGCTTCTGCTGACCCGTGGTAGACACATGGGAGGTGTCTTCCCCCACACCCCGCTCCGGCTCGTGTCCTGGGGCGCGCAAAGAGCACGCCCCTCCCCGGACCTTCACCCAGAGCGCCCTGCCCCGGGGGGACCCTCATCAGGTTTTCCTGACCACCTGCCAGCCCCAGGCACATCCCCTGGGGCCATCTGTCCATGTTGCAGGGCAAAAATGAAAACGTGGGGCCCCTTGTTCAAAAATTATGAACAGGGTGACAGAGCATTAAATTAGTGTGGGTCTGTTTAGTCCCACGCCGTGAAGCTGGCCCTGTCCCCACTCAAGGCAGCTCAGAGCCCAATGTCTGTTGGTTCTCCACAGATGCCATTCGCTTCCTCTCTGGTCTCAGTGTCCGGTCCCCGAGCGCACCAATCCAGCTCCCTCCAGCAGTCAGAGCCTCAAAAGTGGCCAGCTGTCCCCATCATCCTGCCATCCCTCTTGGGGGAGACTCTAGTGGTGGCCCTTTGGTCAGGCGTCCAGCTCTGACCAAGATGGCCAGACTCATGTGGCGTGGGGGAGTGAGGAGGGGACTGACTGGGGCCAGGCACAACGGGGCTAGCCATCCCCAAGCCTGCTGGAATGCGGCCCGCTCTGGTGCTGACACATGCAGTCACCCTCCTTGCTCCCCGCCCCATGAGCCGCCCCATCACAAGTGTTGGGAATCGAGGGGTCTGGCTCATGGGACCCTCAGGCCTGGTCAGTGAGGGCTGTTGGGACAGGGAGAGACCCCAAACAAGTTGGACACCTACTGATAGTCTCT